AAATTCAATAAATCTTCTTCTAATCCGGAATTAATCCTTCCTTCCATTTGAGTGTCAAAAAAAGTTGATGTGACAAATCGTCTTTCTCCAGAATATTCTCTGAGAAAATCTTCGATCCAATCTAATGAATGCTGTGCCAATGTTTTTTGCCCTATACAATAAGGGCTCCATCCAAATGTAGAGCCTTGCATAAGAATTGATTTACTGATTCTATTCTTAAATATACAAGAATTTTCGAATTTTGAAGTTTCGACTTGACTTTTCTTTGAAAGAATATAATTGTCACATATAGAATCCACTGGGAAATGATAATTCCCTGGTAATAATCGCTTATTTCCGTTTCGAGATTTTTCTTGAATATACCAATAACTTATATCACTAGTACTCCAATCTGAATGACCCAAGAAACCACCACAAGAACCATCAGAATGAGCAGTGATGAACCCTTGATCCTCAAATATATCCCAAATCCAATTCCCACTATATCTAGCTTCTAAATTCCAATAACTCTGACCGGAATAAATATAAGGTTTATTTGGAGCAGAATTACGACCTAATACATTATATCTTTCCATAGAAAACCATTTATGAGAACCGTTTGTATGACTTTCTATGTTTCGAAAAAATTCCATCAAACGAGGGAATTCCTGTTTAAATTTTTCTCTGGATTCGGCTTCTAAGAGAATCATGATTACATCATCTACAAGAGGTTTTGAATCATTTGAAATTGTCGCTGATGTCCTACCTATAAAAAAAAAAAAAAAAAAAAAATGGATGAGTTAATATCAGATATAGTTCCAAAGATGATGAATTAGATAAATTATTTGATAGGTATACTAACTTTTATCATTGAATTCCGCGTCAGCTTTTTTTATTTCTTTTCTTATCATACTGGCATTAGACTTATCCATACATTGTAATAACACATAAGACTCATTTAAAGTAAGCAAACCATCCTTTTCTTGATCCCAAATAGCCCATGAAAGATCCATCGACTTGTAATGATATAGGAAGGTTGATTGATTAAGACATCCAGTGACATTAACATATTGAGTGTTTGTTTTCTCAGAGTAAACCACATGACCTATTCCGGGACCTAAAATATTAGAAATTACATATTAGAATAGGAGTGATTATAGATATAAAAAAATAATACTCTAACTTTAAAATCTTATATCTCGATGAATTCTAAAATTATTTTGATAATTTAAAAGTGAAT